CTGATCACAGGTTGGGAAAAGGCAGAAGCTGAAGCTGCAGCCCTGAAAAACCACCTTGAGTCTGTCACCCTGCTGAAGCTCACAGCCGAAGACCGCGCATCCCACCTGGACGGGGCCCTCAAGGAATGCATGCGCCAGATACGTAATTTAAAAGAAGACCACGAGCAGAAGCTGCACGACCTCATCCTGAGCAAGGAAAAACTTTTCGACAAGATGAAGCTCGACCTCGAATCCCAAATCGCCGACCTTGACCAAGACCTTATGAAATCAGCCGCCGAGAACGCGGCCCTTTCCCGATCCCTCCAAGAACGCTCGAACATGCTCGTCCAGCTCAGCGAAGAGAAATCTCAAGCGAGAGCCGAGATCGAGATCCTCAAGACCAACATCGAGTCGTGGGAGAAGGAAGTGAGCTCGCTAAAATACGAGCTCCATATCGCCCGTAAGGAGGTCGAGATTCGGAACGAGGAGAAGAACATGAGCGTGCGATCCGCTGAGGTGGCGAACAGGCAGCACCTCGAGGGGGCAAAGAAGATCGCGAAGCTCGAGGCCGAGTGCCAGCGGCTGCGTGGCCTTGTCCGGAAGAAGCTTCCGGGACCTGCAGCTTTAGCCCAGATGAAGCTCGAGGTCGAGAGCATGGGCCGGGAATACGGGGAGCCTCGACTGAGACGGTCACCGGTCAAACCTCCAAGTCAGCATTCTCCCCATTTTCCCGAGTTCTCGCTCGACGGCTCGCAAAAGTATGTTAAGGAGAACGAGCTGCTGACCGAACGTTTGCTGGCTATGGAGGAAGAGATGAAGATGCTTAAGGAGGCGCTTGCAAAGCGTAACAGCGAGCTGCAGGCTTCAAGAAGCTTGTACGCGCAGACAGCCAGCAGGCTACAGAGTCTGGAAGCGAATGTGCAGGCGAATGGCGAGCAGAAGAGTCGTGCGAAAGGCGGTAATTTGTCGAGTTATGCTTGTCTGTCCGAGGATGGGAATGAGGATAGCATGAGTTGTTCGGGATCGTGGACTATGATGTCTGAGGTCTCGCATTTGAAGAAAGAAAAGAATGTGGATAGCCCAGATAAGTCTGAAAATGCGAGTAATCATCTGGACTTGATGGATGACTTTCTGGAGATGGAGAAGTTGGCTTATTTGTCAAACGGATCGAGTACAGCAGTTTCGAATATGGAGTTGTCGGATAATACTGGCAAAAGTGGGTGCGAGCTGTTGAGTAATGAAGCTCTGGTTGAGGTTGCCGTAAATGACTCCGAAGAATCCCCTCATCAAGATCCACACATCTTTGCTGAACTGCAATTAAAGATATCCTCGGTGCTTGAGCTGACGTCTGGTGAGAAAGAAATGGAAAAAGTTGTTGAGGACATTAGACGTGTCATGCAAGATATTCATGAAAATTTGCGGCTCCAGACAGTTTGTTCTTCTGGTAAAATTAACTCGTGTACTAAAGATATCGAGAAAATCGGTGAAAATTTACAAACTGCCATGGCTCAGATTTATGACTTCATAATGATTATTGGGAAAGAGGCTAAAGCTAATATACCGGGAACAGCTACTGAAGGGGAAGGATTGCACGAAAAACTTGACACGTTCTCAGCCAAGTACAGTGAGGCTTTATATGGAAATGTTAATCCAATCGATTTTGTTCTGGACATATCTAGTGTGCTGAACAAGGCGAGCGAGCTGCATTTCAATGTCTTGGGATTCAAAGGCTCTGAAGTAGAAACCGGCAGCTCTGACTGTATAGACAAGATTGCACTTCCAGAGAACAAGCCTGATTTGAATTCACTAGAAGAGAGATATTCTGCAAATGGCTGTGCTCGGTTTTCGGATTCCGCTTCCGATCCTGATGTGCCTAATGACGGGAATCTTGTCCCGACCTCTGAGTCGACTGCTGCCCCATGGAAGTGTTCGTTGGAGGAGTTTGAACAGTTGAAGGCGGACAAGGATAACTTAGCGGATGACCTTGCTAGATGCATGGAGAATTTTGAGAATACAAAGTCCCAATTGGTAGAAACTGAACGGATTTTGGGTGAGGTGAGGTCAAAGTTGACTTTGGCCGAGAAGTCCAACAGCTTGGCCGAGACACAGCTCAAATGCATGGCCGAGTCGTACAAATCACTTGAAACACGGACAGATGAATTGAAGAATGAAGTAGGTGTCCTTCAAGAGAAGATAGAAAGTTTGGAAAGTGAGCTACAAGAAGAGAGAAGGTGTCACCAGGAGGCGCTCCAGAGATGCAGAGATCTTCAAGAGCAGCTGGAAAGGTATTTCTATAAATTTTCATATCTTCCGGAACAAATATTACTCATCGGTTTATAAACTTAATATTTTTTCCAGTCGTATAAAAAGATATTTTTCAGACTGTACAATAATCCCAGGATTGAATTTAGCATTTAGGCTGAACTTGTACTCTACTTTCTCTGGCCATATCTTATTTTACGAGAGAACCATAAAAAACATGTGAGAGTTTGGTCTGAAATAGTTAAATGGATGATTCTCAATGTGGTTTATCACTCTAAAACTGATAACTAACTTTCTCACTTCTCAACAAGCCTCCGGATGTTTTCTGTGTTATGTTTATTAAAACGTTAAACTTGGCTCTAAACGTGACTAAATCTTATCTCGTTATTCTGTCAGGATGGATTGTTTGGAAGCAGATGAGAATGATGACAAGACTAGCCAGGTGAGGCTTACATATAACCTCTCCGTTTTTGTGCTCACCTTATTAGTTTAATTCATTTAATTTCATTAGACCTTCATTCAGAAATTTTTTGACAACTCTATAATTCATCCATGCTATGTATCCATATTGCTACGAAGGCGTAATCTGTTTCCAACTTCATTTTGTTCATGTTGATATGTCAAGTTTGATTCTGGTTATATAGAAAATCTGATGGCATTTGTGAGATGGAACTTATATTTCAAATGAGTCAACTGATAACTAAAAGATTGAAATGCATAGATGAATTATACTTGCATTGAAGAGTGAAACTTGATTAAGTTTAAGTGTTCTACTTCTAATTGGTATTTCTGCATATAGCAGCATTTTGGTACAATTACTTATTTTTTTACACAACAAATCATCTGCCGTATATGCCTTCTGTTCCGAATCAAACTACCTACTGCACTAAGTAATCTGTCCCTTCTAGAAACAAAAATCGCTATCATGGCTACTCTTACCCATTTCAAAATTTTCTGAATAAGGGCGTACGTACCAGTTGACGTTTTATTCCATTAAGAAATTAT